CCCCCCCCCCCCCCCCCCCCCAAAGTATAGAGATAGGTTCATGTAGTCACTAGGAACCAAGCTTAACTTAAGGGAGTTTTTACCTTTTTTTTTTTTTACAAAATATATTGAGTTTTCTGAAATACCTGGAAGGGTATGGAAAAGGAAAAGCACAAAGCTCAGTGTTCAGAGACAACATACCCCTAAATGCCAGTTTCTGGTGAGCAGCACCAGAAGATGGCTAGATCCTTCGTGCTCCATTTATGAGGTCTCTGACTGACTGGATGTGAGAAGCATAATGTGAGAATGAGGCTGCTTATATGTGGAGTGGTTGAGTGTCCTTGACTCCAGCAATACTATGTCTTGGGGCGGCCCTCTAGGACAGACAAAGGCTTGGTTTGATCTAGCGGGGGCCGTTCTGTTCTTTCTGAGCACTACAAGAGGATACAACCACTGGTGACATTGTGAAGACGAACAAATAAAGAAGATCACAGAATTAAACGGCAGTAAAATAGTGTGATCATGATTAATGATTTCACAAACCATAAGAAACGTGTCTGTTAACAGTCACACAAAGTCATTTCAGAAGACAAACACAAGACACCAGTGGGGTGGAAGGAGGGAAAAATGCCATTTCCTGAATATAAAATATAATGCTGCAGAACACTGAGAACTTCAATCTCCAGGGAGGACGTCTGCAATCAGCATACCAAGTGGGCAATAGCGACACATTTACTGTATTAAAAACTGATCATCTGGAAAGAGCCTATTTGGCCCCAGTTCTCTCTCTCTCTCTCCAACCCTAGCATTATTAATATATAAACCGGCAGTCTACAACCTCACATGAATTCCTGGGTTGCTGTATCTTATCTCACAGTTTCCCCTCTCGTGGTCATGGATAGCCTTTCTCCTCTTTTTATGTCTCTTTCCTAGGAATGGACTTGTTTATGTTAAGAACCCTCACTTGGATTTAATGGACGAAGACGTCCTTTATCACTTAGACTTAGGGACCAAAACGCACAACCTGCCAGACATGTTTGGAGACACAAAGGTAACATCAAGATGACACAGCGACCGCTTTTCTAAACACTTTCCCTTCTGCTCTTGCTGCTCTTCATTTCTTTTATTGTTACCTTATCGCAGACAAAGCTTCAGAGATGAGTTAAAGATCCTAAGGGAAAAGAGTCTGTGCTATTCGGCAAAGTGACTCAAAAAGTATGCCACACTACAGTTATGGGCAATTACCCTTCTCTTCTCAGTGAAGGAAGGAGAGTGAGAAAACAAAGCTAGTTTGATGGGCTAAATTCTTCCCTGGGGTAGTCTCACTGACTCCAGTTCCAAAACAATACATGGCGGAATTCAGCTCATCGTAGTATCATTTTCCCATTTCTCTTCTAAGGAGGAGAGGGGGATTTCTGTGGAGGCCGCTTCAAAAGCTGCTTAGGGATCTTTGCAGATAAACAAACACCAACTGTATTGTGAAGGGTCTTTGGGCTCATGGAAAACTTTCAGAAAGAGACTCTGAGCTCCCCATTTGATACTGGATCACATTAGAGAGGAACTGAATTCCCAGATAAGGGAGATAATTAGAGTTTAGGAAGTGACATTCTGACATATAGAATAATACATTCTTATTGATCCTGATAGGTATCTCCTTTTGTCTGATCTTTTAACTGGAGATGCTAAGGACCAAACCTGTATACAACACAGGTTGCGTGTCTCTGCTGGAATTACCAGATCTGGACTGCATACATCTACATGCAGCAAAGAGATACAGAAAACTGTATTTGCTGCCACCTTGTGGTCATCCAGATTTTTGCAGCCCAAATCTGCCATTTAGAGGACTTTGGGTGCAACGGATTAAATTTATATTTGGGTTCCCTCCCCCCCCCACAAAATAATGGATATGTCTGTTGTTTTTGAAGCCCATCTGGACCATTGTCCATTATGCAGATGATGCAAATTGACGTAAGTGACATAAACATTATGTTAATTACATAAATTCAGTATTAACAGGCATTTGGGTTAACTGATGTGTTTTCCCCCAAATGGTCCTTTAAATTGAGGATTCATGCTGCAGTCTTTTGCATATGGTTGCTATCCAAAGGTTTTCAACAGTTGAATCCCAGTTGGAAATTTGCCTTGGTTCTGAAATGCTTATTTGAGTAGTATAAAACAACAACAACAGTGAATTCCTTTATTTCTGGAAAATATGTGGAGCCAAAGCTAAGTACTTAAAATCCCATTGATTTTAATGGGATATTAAGATAAGTTTTAAATTGGTTTCGGTGGGAACCATTTAAAGCATTTCTTTACTTTGGCTACAGCTTGCCCTTAGTATGATTTGCATAATGTGCATTTCTTTTCACCCTAATTAGAAAGCTAGTGTAGAAATGCAAAATTCTTCAGAAAATTTGGAGGAAGCATCCTGGAAAACCCGTAACTAAGCATGCCAGCCATTATGGGTCAAGACTGTAGTATATTCACAGAGGTTCATCGCACCTTTGGAGCACAATCTGAAATAGGATTATTCAAAAGTGAATCCCACTGAGCTCCGGTGGGATTTATTTCCTCCTGAGCAAATGTGCAGGATTGCAGCCTACATATTTCCAGTGCTACAAAGTTGTGCAAAACTGAACAGAACTGCCAGCAATTTAAATCAAGTGCATTCCTGACCACCATAGCTATGTGGGCAGCTAACGGAGATGTGTTGGTTAGTTGCCCTCTCAATTCAAAAGCGATTTTTATTTCTTTTCCTGGGACTCCATGGGCATTTGCACTTGTAGTTCTTGAATGCATGTATAGAATTTTGCACCCTTCCTGAAATAATAGAGCAGACCACACACTACTTCAGCATCTGGTTCTACTTTGTTTCTAGCATAAATAACTACTAGCAGTTAAAATGCAGCGCTTGCTTATTTTGCTGGATTTATTTTCAGCTGAAAATTACGGTCACTGCAAATAAGGCATTTGGACTGGGGACAACATTCAGATATAAAATGCAGACACTGCACATCAGATGTGAAACGCAGATGCATTTTTGTTTGTTGTGCCACTCAGCCCTTCAAAATGTGGGCAGAATTCCAGGGACAATGTAGGTATTCTGGACAGAACCAGATATATAGGGGAGGTCTAAAACTAGCCCTGCACCTCTTTGCTTTCTCCTCCCTCCACCCCCTTTTATGGAATCAAATAACATGCAGGGCATAACACTCTCCCCACTCTTGTTTCACTTCATTGGCTATTCTTTGCAGGGGAGGGAACATTTCAATTTTCTTTATGTCATGGTTGTTAAATTACTAGACACTCACAACTGGGGAAGGATATAGAAGGTCTCCTTTTGACAACAGCTGTGCATTTCTTATAGGAAAGTTCAGGGGGGCACAGCCTGGGGAGCTACCTAGCGACCCATAGTTCCCCACATCCATTTTTGCAGTCCCCCACAGCTCTTCAAGGATCATATTGCTGAAATTCAGTTGTAAAATGGTATTATTTCGTTATATGATTCCTTTACTTTTCATAAGTTAGTTTTAAAATCTGTGCACTGAACGTCTGGTTGAAAATCAGCCCATTTGTATCAGTGTTTGAGGAGGCCAAAAAAAATTGTTTTAAAAAATAAAAGTGGCCCCAAGTTCTCGCCATCCTCCAAATTGCTCGTCCCTGATTTAGGTCTTCGGGTCTCATGACAAAAATAAGACCAAGTTGTTATATTCTGTTCTTAATTCATACATAGGTAGTCCTCACTTAACGACCACAATAGGGGCTGGAAAAATTGGTCGTTAAGCAGGGTGGACATTAAGCAAGTCACCATGTGACAGGACCCAATTTTGTAACCATATTTACAATGGTCATTAAGTGAATCACATGGTCATTAAGCAAATCATGTGGTTGTTAAGTGAATATAGCTTCCCCAATGGACATTATTTGCTGGAAACCGGCAAAAAAGGTCGCAAATCATGATCATGTGACCAAAGGATGCTGCAACCAGTCATAAATGCGAGCTGGCTGCCAAGTGCCTGAATTGCAATCACATGACCATTAGAGTGGTGCAATGGTTTGTGATAGTCATAAGTGCAAGTACAGGTTGTAAAGCACTTTTTCTGAGGCCATTGTAACTTCGAACCATCATTAAACAAATGGTCGTTAAGTGAGGACTACCTGTAACTGCTACATTCCATGGGATTATTCTGATCAAAACAAATTTACCTCTGTGTCCCCCTTGCCCAAATGGGTCAAGACCATTTTTTAGTTCATTCTTTCGAGTATAAGCTCCCTTTGGATATACAAACGTACAAAACCATTTCAACAGCTTAGCAGCAGCAGATGCAAAATCTCAGTTGTTGTTGCTATGGCTGATAACCTTATCATTCTTTTCCAGTTTGTCTGTGTGGGAGGAAGCCCCAACAGAATGAAAGCTTTTGCTCAGTTCATGCATAAAGAACTTGAACATGAAGGAGATGACAACAACTTGAAAGATATTTGTGCTGGAACAGATCGTTATTGTATGTATAAGGTGGGCCCAGTGCTCTCCGTCAGCGTAAGTACATTATGGGGAGTCCCAAGCACTTCCATTAGGAATATACTGACCATTCCAGCATACTGTTTGTTCTTGAATATTTAATGTATGCTTAATACTTGTGGGAGGAGGAACCAGATAAAAAGTAGCAAGATCACCGCTGGAGCTCAAGGAGCAGGTAAACAAATGATGCTTTGACTGATGAGCATCATTTCCTTGAACAAAAAGCTCCTTCAGTCCTTTACACTTTTCCACTATTTCTACTAATCTGTGTCAGCAAGAGTGCCTAAGGGCACATTGTGTAATCTCACCGTATCCCTTAAGGGGCTAAAGCAGAAAGTTGGAAGGATGAATAAAATGCTTCTTTTGGGAAGCAAAGGAGATACCTTTTTTCACAAGCTGATAAGTGGGGCCATTGGGGAAAGCTATGGGGATAATTGCCCTGAGCTCCCACACCTGGAGACAGCCATCCAAAGGATGGCTCAGTATTGGAAAGGATGTTGATGAATTGCTACGTTTCATTCAAGACCGTAAGCGTAATCACAAATCCCAATCTTGGACCTCAGTGAACAAGTTTGATGTGCTGGAACTGACAGAACCTCGGCTGATGACATTCGTGTCTACTGCACACAAGCCTCCAGCATGAGGTTTGTATTAGGCTGTGCAAAGCTTCAAAGGGATACTTTGATTCAACACATTTTCAAACCACTCCAAGAAAGCAGATCTGTGAATCAAAGCAAGGATGTGCTTTGATGAAGCAATTCAAATCAGGCAGCTGGTAAGAAGGGTTTCACTGCTTCAGTGGATTTCCTGTGGCTCCTGCTGCTTTGGGGCTTATTCCAGGCAATCTAGAATATGGCAACTTTACCTCCTCATATGGAGGACGCTGGTGGTGGGCTGTGACGTCTGTGATGCTGGCAGCATAGGCGGCTGGACATTGAGGGCAGCTCAATGTCCAGCTACTCCACTCCACTCCACTCCACTCCACTAAACTTTCTATCTCTCAGAATTTGTTTGGGGTAGCAAAGCTATCTGGCAGCCCCAAGATGTAGATCAGAGGAATCAACTCCACATTGAGACTAAAACCACTTTTATTCAGATCGGCTCTAGTTACAGGATCTTGCAAGTCCGATTATGCTTTGCCTCCTCCTTCTGTTATAGTCATGTGAATTAGGGCTTGTCTGTCTTTTCACATTCCTCCTTCATTGTTTGGACTTAAGGAGTGCTTCCCTCCTCTTTGCTTTGGTAATGGATCTCTCCCATCCCTGTCAAGGTCATCGTCCTTACTCTCTACACTGCCTTTCCTTCATTCACTTTCCCAGCTCTCTGCTTCTTTAATGTGGCCAACCAAGAATCTTAATGTTGGTCTTCCTTGTGCTCAAGGCTGACCAATATGGACCATTGAGTTAAAGTTTACTTTTATCATCAAGTTAAGTCTCTTGACAATGAATGAATGAATGAATGAATGAATGAATGAATGAGTGAGTGCAGGTCAACACCTACAGAGATCCTGGCCCAAATGCCCACTGCTTTTAAGAATAGGGGGTGAAAAGTCTACAAATGCCACTTTTCTTGCTGCTGGCTTCTTTCTCTGTGGCCTGTTTGTATTTCATCATGGCAGCCTTCTTTTACTGCCCCTCCTACCCCACTAACTGAGAATTGCCAGCAAGGCACAACCCTGGCATAATTGAGTCATGTCCAGGAGAAGCTAAGACTTGCCAAGGTACCTTGTCCCAAAACCTATGTCAAGGGGTTCCTTCCTAAGACAGGCCAAGCTTGGCAACCAATTATGCCAACTTTCCTGTCCCCCACAAAAGCCAGAGCTCAGAGGCAGCAAAGTGATATTACTGCATAAAGTCAAGTCATGTTATTGTCACGACAGTAAAATTAAGTGGAGGAGTAAGAGTTACATTTTACACTGTTTTCAAAGGCTTTCATTTTAAATTGAAGTAAGGCATTTTCTGTATTGGTTTTGGATCACTTCTCTATAGGATCTTTGCTAGGTAATTTGGAGGTGGTTGTGTTCCTTTCCTCGTTCCTCTCATTTCTCCCTTAAAAAGGAGAATGTTTTTAATAAAATATTGCAGTAAAACCCTTGAGCATACCTAGCTGAACCTCCAAAGGGTCTATCATCCTTGCTATTTTCATCCCATCCTGCTAAAAAAAGAATCAGCTGCAGGTGTTTGCATACTTTCCTATTATAGCCTATAGATAATTTTTTTCCCAATTGAATCTTGACCCTGATTTGAATATTTTTGCCTTTGAAATTCAAATCATTCTGTGCCATCTTTGAACCTCACAACTTAAATCTGCATCAAATCCAGTTGATTCACATAGGCCTAGTTTTTCCATGCATTTCGCTGAAATGTGAAATGTACTGAAAGAAAATTAATGTGCACCAATGCTTACATAACCAAAATGTATATTTGTGTGTGTGAGTGTGTACATACACACACGCAGCCCGCAATTCGGCCGATGGCGTATGGGGAAAGAAGCCAGAGTGAGAGCCTTGGCCTGAACTCTGCCAAAGGAGAAAAATAAAATGAAGTTTAGCCTGGTCCACCAAGAAGCAGCTGAATGTGCAGAGCCCTGTCATAGATTTTGGGATGGTCCGGACTTGGGTGAGACACACAGACCAACCCCCACTGAGAAAACGAGAATGTACGATCAAGGAGTGCTCTAAAAACAAACTTGTTTCTTGTCTGAACAGTTTTGTGTTCTTTCATTTACTGTACATTTCCTATTTCTTATAACCTGTTTCTAATTATTTGCTCTTATCTATCCTAACTTACTCTACTTCTCTTATCTTTTCTCAGATATACTAATTATGCTCAGACCTACAGTCCTTATTCTGTCTCTCCTTCCTATCTTCATCTTTCCAAGATCTGATCTTCTGGTTCCTGACTACTGTTGTTCCAGTCACATTCTTCAATTTGACCTTTATCTCTCTCCTAACCTGTCTCTTATAGCTACAGATGACAGCAATTTCCATTCAAACTGCTCTGTTTCCCATTAGCTAGCTATTTTACTGCAATGCCTAAATTCTTCATACTTTCTTATACATTCTGGTATGTTCTTCATTCTGCTCTGTAGCTCATGCTACTCTATAGCTGTGACTCTTGTTCTCTATCTTATATTCTATTTCTGTCCTGTATTCTTACAACCCAGTTGGTCCTAATGTTTTTACGGGTAGTCCTCGTTTACTGACTGTTCATTCAATGACCGTTCAAAGTTACAACAGCACTGAAAAAGGAGATTTACAACCAGCCCTCAAACTTGCAGCCATTGGAGCATCCCTATGGTCACATGATCGCGGATTCAGGTGCTTGGCAACCGGCACGCATTTAAGACGGTCACATTGTCCCTCAGTCACGTGATTGCCATTTGCAACCTTCACAGACAGCTTCCAACAAACAAAGTCAATGGGGAAGCTGGCAAGAAGTCTCAAGCTGTGATCATGTGACATCATGCTTAACAACCACGGGTGATTTCCTTCATGACCTCAGTCAGAACTGACGTAAGTTGGGCATGGTCACATTATGTTTCACTTTATGACTGTATCACTTAACAATGGAGTTGCCGGTCCCAGTTGTGGTCAGAAAGTGAGGACTACTTGTATTTCCACCTTTCATTTACTCTATATTTCTATACTTAGTTCCACTTTCTAATTTCTATTCTTTTCTCCTCAGTATATAGCTCCAAGTCTCTTCTTTAAAATGTTGTCATCTAGTGGGACCTAAGAAAAGCATCTTTTCTGTAGCTGCCCCTGCTCTGTGGAATACCCTTCTGCCAGGGTATCTGCCAGATCTACCAGATCTGCCAGGCCCCCACACTCCTTCTCTCCTGGAAGGCCGTAAAGAGTTGACTCTTCCCACAAGCACTGGTGAAGGGTGAAGCTGGTGCCCAGCAAGGTGGTATATTGATGTGTGGGAGAGTGTTGCCCCAGGGAGTCAGTAGTTTTTTATGGAGTTTTTATTGATTTTTATTCTGATTGTTTGGGAGGGTGCTGTTTTTACTGTTTTGTGCACCACTCAGGGTTGTTGTTACAATACGGGTGGCTATATAATTCTTTTCAAATAAATGTCTTCAGCACCTTCTGCAATCTTCTGTCGTCTGCTTTCTTTTTTCTATGCTGTCCTATTTCCTTTTCAGCCAAGCTCCTTTTTAAAGGGCCAGCTGTCCAAAACAGATATGGGTGAGGTTGTGCTGCTGCAGCTGCCCTCTCAAAAGTCCCATTCAGAGCAACGACAGGTGTGGCAACAGTTCTGGAAGAATTTCAGTCCACTCTTCCTCCTGCTTTCTGTTGTTACTTAAAGCTATCAAATCCGGGCTGAAACATCTTCATGGCCACTAGAGGGCAGCAAAGAAATACAGAAAAGAATAACTTATGGCTGCCCTCTATGGTCACCTGGATTTTTGCAGCTCAGATCTGGTAGCCCCTGTGGAGTAATTTCTTTGACGTATATTGCAGATATTGCATGTTTGCATGGAACCATGACTTGCTCAACTTGGTTTTATCAAATAAACCACAACTGGCAGAGTTTGTATTACATGCTAAGTCAGTGATGGCAAACCTTTTGGGCTTGGTGTGTCAAAAATTTGGAAAATGCCTAACCTGACTCTGCTGGCATGTCACACACACCCCCCCCGAACAAAAGAGAAACAATTCTTTACATATTCATCTATTTTTTAAAAAATACAGTTCAATCATGTGTGGTGCTATGTATTATATAAAGAAATGTCAAATAATTACAAAAATGAAATACAGATAAAACAAACTCAGTTTCTTTGCTAACTCAAACAGGGAAAATAGTTGTTGGCTGTTGGTGAACGCTGGCGTGTCACCCATGGCATGTTACCTTTAACATGCGTGTAATAGGTTCGCCATCACTGTATTAAGCCACAAACTGGTATTTGCAAGCCACAGTTGAAGGTTCATATCATATGCTAAGCCAAAACTCCAACTATACTATTGCTTAGTGTGTGGTGGGAACCAGATCAAAGAATATTTTTAATACAGCAATGAAAATGGCAACACAATCCAAACCACATTTATTTCAAAAAAATGCCCCATGAAGATGTTAAGAAGCTAAGAAGAGCTCTGCTGGGTCAGACCAATGGTATCTTATCCAGAAACTGATGCTTCTGAGAATTCCTGGCCAGAGCACAATACCTTTCCCACTCTTGTTACTCAGAAACTGGTATTCAAAGGCATAGGTCCTCTAATACTGGAGGTTATGCATAGCCTTCATGACCAGAAGCCATTGACTACCAGATCCTTCATTAATGTAGTCTGGGCTTCTTTTGAAACACTCTAAATTGATGAGCATCTTGTGCTTGTGGGTTTTGTTGTTTATTTTTAGAGTAAGCATAAAGCATATTTGTCTTGCCTGTTGTCAATTTTCCACCATCCAGCTCCGTTGTGTAGTGCCAGGTATGAGTGATGTCGTAAGCATCATGTTCTCTCTCAACTAACACAAATCATATAATTTGGCATTACGATGACCCCAGGTTCTATTACACGTTTCTTCTCTCTGCCCATTTTCCATAGCATACTTATTTTTATAAACCTCTTACTGGACCCTTTCCTTATGCAGCTTTAGGTTCAGCGGAGTTTACACCCTAGGAAATGGGTTGAGATTGCAGCCTTAATAGCTCTCATAAAATAGGTCAGAATCTAAGGCCTAAAACTGATAACAAAATCATCCCAGTGACCCATTTCTTCCAAATTTGAAAACATTTTCAACCCCTGTTTTATTCGTTTAATAACTAATTTACCAGCAATTTCCCTTTTTCCCCTCCCTTCACACACCTTTGGGCAATTATTGCCAGTCTAATAATTCAGACATTCAAAAATGCAACGTCTTCTAAATTTTAATATGCCAAGTGAAAAATTGTCCTGGTTTGTTCTTGCTGTTTCTATGAATTATTTTCCTGCTCTTCAAATACATGGAATGTAACAGATGTTTAAGCCTGTCAAGGAAATTCCCTGCCTACATTTTTGCAAGAGAACAGTGTGTTAAGATTACCGTATTTTTCCGACAATAAGACGCCCCCATGTACAAGACGACCCCCACTTTTCCAA